CACACCCATATACACAAGGAAAAAACACATAGCATCCTCAGCTGCACCAAAGAATAAAACTCTCTCTCTTCTAAGTCCCTTTTAGTAAAGGATATAATAATTCATATAAATATTAATAAAAATATTTTATTAATATTTTATTCAGGTTAAGCTACTGAAACAGTCTTCTTGGATCTCTAATTCACCGCACATGAGAGATGCTTGAAGAAGAACCCAATTGGTAAATTTGCCTAATTATTTTCTTAGAAAAAATATTATTAATATTAATTTACTCTGACTTACAGAAACCTGGTTAGAGCAGAATGATTATGTTAGTTTAAATAGATCACTATGAGTTATACTAATAGTCCGAATCCACAAAACACAGGCCGGGGAGGGGGTGTGGCAGCAATCCTTCACTCCAGCTTGTTAATCAACCACAGGCCCTCTTATTTCCTGCTTCTAAATTCACATAAACCTAAGGGTTGTCATACTCAGCCCTTAATAATTTGGAAACATGGTGTCTAACCAGATGTTTACTCTGGATGGCATTACCTTGGCCTCCAGTAACACTGTGAGGAGTCTTGGGGTTGTTTATGACCAGGTCCTTCAATGTACATATTAAATAAATATGTAGGACTGCTTTCTCTAAAAATAGAAAAATCCTGTCTCAGAGTGACACTAAAGAAATACATCTGCATTTATTACTTCTAGGCTGGACTACTGTAATTCTTCATTATCAGGATGCCTTAAAAACTCCCTGAAAAGCTTTCAGATCATCCAAAATGCTGCAGCAAGAGTACTGACAAGGACTTGGCTTCTCTTCATTGGATCCCTGTTAAATCTAGAATCAAATTTTAAATCCTTCTCCTACAATGTCTTGAATAATTAAGCCCCATCTTATCTTAAAGACCTCATAGTACAGTATCACCCCAATAGAGTACTCCTCTCAGGCTGCAGGGTTACTTGTGGTCATTTATTTAAAGGTAGAATTGGAGGTGGGGTCTTCAGCTTTCAGGCCCCTCTTCTGTGGAACCAGCTCCCAGTTTAGATTTTAAGATTTTAAGACTTTTAAGATTAGGCTTGAAACTTTCCTTTTCAATAAAGGTTATAGTTAGGGCTGGATCAGGTGACCCTGAATCCTCCCTTAGTTATGCTGCAATACGTGTAGGCTGCTGGGGGCTTCCCATGATGCACTGTGTTTCTTCTTCACTCACCTTTGGATGGATGGATGTTTGCCACTGTTACCAAAGCACTTGCTCACAGGAGGTCATCTGATAGTTGGAGGTCTTAAACTTAGGTCTTAAACTTACAAAATAAAGCTCCTTGAGGCAACTGTTGTGATTAACAGTATATATAAAAGTACAGTATATATACATATAAAAGTACCATTGAATTGAATTGAATTGAAATTTCTCCTTTTCATTAGAGGTCATTAAAAATCTGAACCTGTTCTCTCCACAGCACTTTATATTTCCTTGCTTTTCTGCTGTTCTGTTATAACTGAAAGCGTGAACTGCATGTCTTAACATGAATGATGATCGAAGGATTGAAAAACCTGATTTTTCAAACCTATGAACACTTGCTGTTAACCTCTGTGTAAGTAAGAGCTCATTTTAGCACAATGTCACTCAGTAGCTTTTAAAACAACAAATAAAATTGCAAAACTTTTAAATGTGGCATCCTTCTCATTTGGCATCAGTTGCGCAAGTAGCTGTAAGTACATTTCACCTATACCCTACCTCCCTACAGCAGCATTGAACAGAGTCTGTGAGTCTGCCTTGTAAGGTGAGCTTAGTCTTTGAAATCAACATGTAAGTTGATCAGAGAACTAAAAATTTACTTTCACACTTGAGATTATATTTTTCATTTTTGCAGAGCACCTATAATTTGACTCAGCGCTGTGAAGAAAGTATAACATACTGGTACTATGTTAACCTCTGTTCACTTAAGCTTCATTTGTTTTAGTTACATTTCTGTATCATTAAGCAACAATGTAAACCTTGTGTAAAATACAATAAAGTAGGTTTATTTAAGAGGTCACAACAACTACTATGGGTTTAAAGCCAAAACTAGCTGTTTATTAAGACCTTTGATAAAACTTTAAAGGTCAATAAACATAATTTATGGATTGATTTCTTTGCATTGGATGTGTTGTTACTGACATCTGCTGAGAATTTCATGTCAAAAGCACCTTTAGAAATACTTTTGGTGATGTGTTCAATACTTACTTTATCCACTGTATAATTTTAAACCAGTGTCCATTAATTGTAACGTTTGCATCATAAATAGTCTTGTTATATTACAGTTCAGTTTTATTTTACTATTGTATATTGTATTATTGTATTTCAAATTTATGTTGGTAAACTTTGTAACTTTGTCACAATCAAAAAAAAATCCTGCTTGCTCCATTTCATAAGCTGAAAATTTCCTAATATGTTTTTAATTAATCATTAAACTGATTTTTGTAATAATTTTTAAAAAAGGATCTACATTTGGGATCCAAGAAAAATTATTTTAATACAACACATCTCTAAGAAACTATGACCACCTTGACCTCTGGTTGTGTCGTGTTGAACACTGGGCAGATGGACCCAAAGGTTTGACATTTCAACAGAGCTGAATGGTATTTTATTTAACCAATAGAAATTTTACACACATGCGTCCTTGTCTCCACTGTTCTCCATCCTTCAATCTGGGTACAAAATGCTGAAGGATGGCGTATTTCCTTAAATGCATGTTGAGAGCAGAGGAACAGAGGATCTATAATGCGGGATGAATCGTTACCTTCAGCATATAAGAGGCGGCACACATACGAACCATTAAACAACTAAGTTTATGTCTTTAAGGTTTTGTCAAGGGTGGGCAGGTAGGACACAGATGTAGGTCTCTCAAACAAGAATGAACCTTTGTTGTATTTTCTCTAGTTCTTTTCACAGGTTTCCATTTGTTGCTGTGTGCTGTTTGTGTCTCTCTTTCATTCATTTCCTGTTATTTACACAATAACTTGTTGGTTTGTGCTTTCTCTCTTTGATGTTAGTTCAATTCACTTCAATTCATTTTTATTTATATAGCGCCAAATCACTACAACAGTCGCCTCAAGGCTCTTTATGTTGTACAGTATATCCTATAATAATAGATACAGAGAAAAACCTAAGAATCAGCGCAGATAAATTCTGTAATTAAAGCTAGTTTTTGTAATTTGATGCTTTCATCCAGGATCAAGTCCGCTTTAACTTTAAAATTTTTGAACGTCTCTTTCATGCTTTTATCACAACACGTGTGGACTACTGTAACACTCTCTATTTCGGCCTTTACTGAAGCTTTCCTTGCTTGCTGCTTCACACTCGGCTGCGAACCGTTCCAGTGCGAGCTGGAGGCCCTCACCCAATGAAGCCAACAGAACCACATCATCCGCAAAAAGCAGAGATGAGATTCTGAGGCCACCGAAGTAAAAGCCCTCCGCCACTTGGCTGCGCCTAGAAATCCTGTCCATAAAAATTATGAACAGAATTGTTTACTATGCGTTTCTAAAATATTTAATGGATCAGCTCCACCATAAATATCTGAGCTGCTGACTCCATATGTTCCCTTAAGGTTGCTGAGGTCCATAGACCAACTGAAAACCAGGGGCAATCGATTTTCAGTTATTGCCCCCAAACTGTGAAATGACCATGTTACAATTCCCTAATCATTTCCTGGTTTTAGGTGACAGAAGGAGACATGTGGCCTGGTCAAAACACAGAGAGCTGCACTCTAAAAGATCTTTAAATATAGTAAACATACCTTGTGTGCCACAGACTGCTCCCAAACACAAGGGGGCAAATAATACCTCTAAAACACTTACGTTGGCTTTATTAAACGTTAGATCTTTAGCTGGGAAAACATTTTTAATTAATGATTTCATCACTGAGCACAGCCTTTTTCATGTTTTTAACTGAAACTTGGTTGGACCAAAGTAACAGTGGAGCTGTTCTCATCGAGACGACCCCTCCTAACTACAGTTTTATCAGTGAGGTCAGGGCGAGCAGGAGAGGAGGAGGGGTTGCTGTCTTATTTAATGAATCATTTCAATGGAAGCAGCTATCTCCTGGAAGTTTTCAGTCTTTTGAATATGTGGCTTTACAGCTGAAGGCCCCATCCAAGGTTGTGTTTCTTAATGTTTACAGGCCTCCCAAATACTGCACAGACTTTTTTAATGACCTCAGTGAACTGCTGTCTGTGATCTGTGTTGATTTTGACTGTGTAATTATTGTTGGGGATTTTAACATCCATGTGTACAACCCTCAGGACAAAGGGACTAAAGACCTGAGTAACATTCTGGGCAACTTTGGGCTGACTCAGCATGTAACAGAGGCCACACATAATAGAGGACACACTCTTGACCTACTGATCTCCAAGGGCCTGAGCATTTCAAAGGTTACTGTGTCTGATGTGGGCGTGTCTGATCATTACTGTTTTCTTTGAAGGCAAAATTTCAGCACACAACAAATATGTCAACAGCAGTGATCACAAAACGGTGTATAACTGAAAACAGTAGTGAGATCTTTAACCAGGTCTTCCCATTAACACCTGACCTGTCCAGAGGTTCAGTCAATGAGCTCGTCAATAGCTTCAATGCTAAAATATTAAATGTAATGGACACTATTGCTCCCATTAGGTGAAGGTTATCTCTGGAAGGAAAGTCTCCATGGAGAAACTCCACACTGGTGAAAAATGAAAAAAGAGAGTGTAGGAAAGCTGAGCGCAGATGGAGAAAAACAAACCTCCAGGTTCATTATGACATCTATAAAGAGAAACTTCACAATTATAATTTACAACTGAGGAATGCAAGGAAGTCCTACTTCTCTGACAAATATCTTTTCTCTAGTTCTTTAGCAGTAGCCTCATGTTGAAATTCCACAATAATCTGACCACCAGTTGGTAGCTTAATCTGCCTACTGACAGGACCGAAAGCTTCTAAGAACTCAATTATTTCTTTATCAATGTCTGTGTTAGTTAAACCACTGACCAAGACAGCATTTTGAACTTTAACATTCTCTGTTTTCACAACTTCCATGGTTAGGACACGTAAAAGTACCAGTAGAAAAAAATACAAGTCACTGTGAAGCTCCAGGCACTCTTAATCGTTTTATTAAATTTTGGGTGGACTAACAACTCTGCAAACCCTCCTGGCTGGCTCGCCACTTTCTGTAACCAAGTACAGGATAGGGTAGGGGAAATTAAAGTAAGATGGAGAGAATGGGCCAATAGCTAGATTCGCAGGAGGGATAAAGGGAGTTGCGTGGAGAAGAATGACTGGAGCCACAGGTAAAGTTGCTATGAATTGTATTAAACTATTTAGCAACAATTTAACAGCATTTTATGAACAGGAATGAAAACATAAAATAAAATACAGTGACAGCAATAATAATAACAGTCAGAATCCTATCTGAGCTCAGATATGTCAGTCTTGCCGGCTTAATAGTCAGTGTTCAGTCAAGTCAAATCCAACAGGTCAAAAGTTTGTGATTGGTGCGATTTCGTCCTACCGCACTGTTGCAATTGTTCGTGAGAGAAGAGCAACCTGCCCTTCTGGGCCAACTCAGAATGGCTGTGGTTCGGTTCGGTTCAAAGGGAAAGGCTCGCCATCTTCCTCGTCAGGAAGAGATCCAGGTCTCACGATCCCATAAAAAAACCTAGCCTGTAAACAACAGGACTATTACTAATTCAGTTCACACTCTAATGATATACATGGCCATATGTAAATAATGTAAGTGCTATAACAAAACAAGCACAAAACATTAATTCTAATTTCTAACTATAGTCTATACAGTGCATCTTAATCATGAATGCAATCTTTAAATCACAATCAGCTTATTCTATCGTCAAGGTGCACATTTCTATCAGAAATCAGAAATAAACCATAAACTATGGTAGATTATTTTTTTACAGTATTGCCCTTTAACTGAATTACAGGAGCATTGCTTTACACTGCATAGCAATGAAGCAATATATTATTTACACTCAATGTACAGAATAAAATTACCAAAAGAATATACAAAAACCCACAGGCTGTAGTTTTACAGTATGTGGTAACGTATCAGCACAGTAAGAATACACACGGACATCTATCCAGTGCCGCTCGAGCATCAAATGTAACAAAATAAAGTAGATTCATGACCTTTAAGATCAACATTAACTTATTCCATCATCTAATTTTAGTGCATTTAATATTCAACAAGTAATACTAGAACATCATCAGCACACAAGCTGAGTGCTCAAAATGGCTGAACTCAGTGAGAAACCCCGTGTGTTCTCCCACAGTGAAAACGTGGTCAGCTACAGCTATGAGCATTAGGCTAGTTAGCTTTTCAATTAGCCTGATTCGCCCAGTCCCAGTTTAACTCACCAGCACACTTCTAATGTTCAACTCTCAGAGAGGATCTTGTTCAACTCTCAGAGAGGATCTTGTCCACTTCATCCGCTCCCGCGCAGATCTACAACATTGAAATCGGGCCATTATATTCCCTGTTAACTTCTTGTTAGCTTTTTAGCTTCAAGGTTAGCTTAACAGCTTCTGACTCACCGCGATGGTTTCAAGGTCCGAAATGTTCACAATAAATCAGGTCCGTTTCTCCAAGGTCCATGCAGATCTCCGGTATGGATATTTGCTCAATTTATCAAGTTAATAGTTATTTTCCAGCGAAAAGCTTGGCGGTGAAAATCAGTGATGGTCTCGTGCACCTCCGTCTCTCTCTGTGTCTGAGCACGTGACGGTACAGAGCAGGGGAAGGCGGGGCTTGTTCCTTCCTAACCAGTAGGGGTGTTAAATATACTCTTTGGGTTTTATTCTTATATTTATAGTATTTATCTTTTATTATTGATTTATTTTTGATCAACTCAGTGATTAACAGAGTAATGATAAATCCCAATTAACAATAACATGTTGTAGTGCATTACTGAGTCGTGTAAACTCACTGGGTTACATAACCACCAAAACTAATCAAACAAACTCTGCATGTCAATATTGTTCTGTGTACATTTGCTATTCAAACTATGCTTGTCTGAGCTTACAGAGGGAATAACAAATGGCCAATGAAGGTGCTGTGGTTGTTGACATTATCATAAATCCAGGTGTCCGGACGGAGCATGTACACCTGGTCTCCTGCAGCCAGCTGCAGAGTCATGCCATTGGTGGCTGTCTCATAGCGATTTCCAGCAATATGGTTGTACACTGTCACCATCTGCTCTCCATTCTTCATCAGACGCAGCCCCATCGGTCTAGTTGTTATATTAGTGTTATGACCCAGGTCATTGTTGCCGTGTGGTGCTGTTACTTGCCACACCATGCTGTTACTTGCCACAGCATGCGGGGGCATTGTTTGTACTCTGTGATGTCTGTTTCCAGGTGGAGGCTAACCATTGGTGGAAGAGGGAATGAGGCCAGCTACAAATTGGGACCTGACTGGGCCGGCAGCCCCTCCTACTACTTCCTGTTTCCAGTGAGCTGCGCGTTTGGGGCCCTTCGTGGCGTGTGACAGAGCTGGGCTGCAGTAAAAACAGTTTAGAGAGTCGTATCTGGACATGGTAGCTGTAGGGGTGGGAAGCCGTTTCTTTTACAACCCTTTTCTCCTGTTTCGGGTAGGGAGACAGGTTAGAGGTTTGTATTTTCTTTTGGGGTTGATTCACTATTGGTAAGTTAGTTCTGATTCATTTCCAGTGTGTTTTGTTTGTTGTTTTGGCCATGCCCACCCTGACGCTCGCTACCTGTCAAGTTAATAAAACGACTAGTCATTGTAAAGCTGTGGCCGTGTGATTTACTTCTTTTTATAATTTTTCTTGTGTTGCAGTCCAGCCCCCCCCCCCCCCCCCCAGCCCCCCCCAGGCCGTTGTGTAACATTAGCACCAAAGAAACTGAAGTAATAAACTCCTCTGACAGGAGCAGTGAAAATACCTGGAGATGATGGACACAGTTACAGCTTATATAACATCAAGAATCACAATAGCAGTTGAGAAATGCAGCACTTATCTAACAAATAAACTCATAAATGTAAGAATACGTATAATTATGTTAAGTTTACCTGTTGCAGGGTTGTAAGAACCTGAGTTAAAGAAGACATATTTGTAAGTCAGTGTGATCTCTGCATTCATTGGTCCAGTATTTCCAACATTGCCGATAGATGCTCCAAATGCCACACGGCTGCCTGGAGTTGCATGAAAATATGGGATTATTTCTTTGGTTTGACAACAACAAAACATGAACCTGTATCAGTACACTGATAAAGATCTTTACATGTCAGAATAAAAACCTCCAGCTGTGTTATGTTCTTACCTTGGATTGATGATTTCAGATCTGCCAGCTGTTCCTCAGCATTATTCAGCTTGGTTTCTAGTTGTCGTAATATTAGGAAAAGTTGTTCATTTGTCCCAGCACAGGGAGGGTGTCCGCCTGATCTCGACATGTATGAGCATTTCTCACATTCTTATAGCTTCAGCCCACCTCCACCTAGTCATAAGACCTAAGCATCCACATTCTTTCTCTCTCTCAATGAGTTATGACCTGCCTAAGTTATGCAGTATGTTCTGTTCTTTTCTAATCAGACAAATAAGGCCATGGAAACAATATTTCTTATAACTCAGCAGTGTAATGCATCATAAAACAATTTCATACATTCACAATAAATCAGCAGTCTAATGTAATACAAATCAGTCTAATAAATCTAATAGTTATCACCTTTTTCTAAGTCAGGAGAATAATGCAAACTAAAACTACATAATGATTTCACAATCTTTAATTAGGGATATACCGTGGCATAAGATAATATAATAATCTCACAATGTGCTTGGGAAAATAGACGATTTTATTGCATAAAACTGTGCTGAGTGGATTTTGTGAATACCTGCTCTGACAGCTGATTGTACCATTTGGTCTCTACATACAACCCGATGAGTTCAAATCAAACACATAGTGAATAGTGTCAGACTTCAGCTTCTCGGTCTTGTGACCCACAAGTTCACCTAACTCACCTGACTAACAGGTAGAAATTTTCATTTCAGTGGAGCTAGCAAACAATAAGGAAGTTAATGAGGGTTGAATACCATAACTGTCTGTTTATCGAAAACCCGCTGTTTGAGTAGCATTTCTACTGCATACCTTAGCTCTTCTTAAAAACAAAACAAAAGATAAATGTCATAAGAAGGTCACATCTAACCTTCACTAATGCTGTTTATGCGACACAGGGAAACAAAAGTCTTCAAATGAACTTTTTCCTTTATAGATAATCATCCAACTGGTCTATACTGGTCTGTATTCAGCTAAGAAAGGTGGATCAAATAAGGGCTTTTTAAGTATTGGCTTAATTGCTGCAACATTGAAAGCCTGTGGTGCATAATCTGTGAATACCAATAATACGGTCAAATTTCAAATTGAAGCATTAACTCATGATAAGACTGTCATGGTCCGGGTGAATGGCGGCATTTTACTATAATGTGTGAAACATGTTTCACATGTATCCCTCATGAATGATATCAAGTCATCTTGAGTCACAAACAACATTCCTGTAAGAAGGTAGTTAGTTTTTTGCCAGTGACTTTTATATATCCTTTATTTATCGAGTTTAAAAAAAATATCATTGACATTACAAATGTCTTTTTTAAGAGTAATCTGGCCAAGGCAACAGCAGAAATTGCAACAAATATAACAATAGTTCTGTAAACATATTTTAATTTGACAAAAAGGACCGCATTGGTTATAATGTAAGTACAATATCACAAAGTTATAAAGATACTTTAAAAAGAGGGAATTTTATATATTTTATATATAACCCATCTGTAGACCTAGTTCACCAAAGTCTATTTACCAACATATGTAAAGACATTACTCATAAAAAACACATGGAAGCATTCGAAATCATTTTTTGGCAGGTGATCACTTTTTGGCACAACGGCTTCCACCTGCAAAGACTGTAAGACACTCAAAGTAATGCACCTCTTCCTGCCTGACCAATCACAGGCACACCCTCTTTGTGTCCTAGTGTCTCTGACCTTCACTGCCTGAGTCACGACCCTCTCCCTGAGACTACCTTTTCCCTTCTGCTGTGTAGTTCACAGCCCCGTCTGACATTTTAGTTCATAGTTTTGTGTTTGATATCGTAGTTCATGGTTGACACTTTAACTCCCAGTCACATTTACTTCATTGTTCATAGTTCATGTTTTTATTATTGATGTTTGGAACACTTCAGGTCTCACTTTGCACTCTGTTAATTAAGAGTCACATTTTTGTTAATAATGTTTTTGTCTTCTTGTTCTAACCTCGCCTCTGTGCTGTCTGCATTTGGGTCCACTTACCTAATTCATGCAGTAATCACTAGTTAATGCAATGTTTTTTTGACAGCCTGGCTACAGTGGTGAAAAGAAACCTGATGTGGCTCCTATTTTAATCTACCAGTGATGAACAGTAAGAAGTGCTAGCTTTACACAGGGAATTTTATACAGTGATAAACAATTTTTCCAGGACAAACAAAGGTCTTGTAGATTAGTGTTATGGGATTTCTACTTTGTAATCAGCACCATGGGAGTCAAGCATTTCTGATTTGTTGCTTTCTTTGTGAAAGGAGCCCCAGTATAAAGAGTTGTGGAGGAAGAGTTTAGGTAGCACGTCTAAACAACTACTGTAGTTTTAAAGCCAAAACTAGCTGTTTATTAAGACCTTTGATAAAACTTTAAAGGTCAATAAACATAATTTATGGATTGATTTCTTTGCATTGGGTGTGTTGTTACTGACATCTGCTGAGAATTTCATGTCAAAAGCACCTTTAGAAATACTTTGGTGATGCGTTCAATATTTTTTTTATCCTCTGTATAATTTTAAACCAGTTAACTAATATTTTTTTAATCAATCTTTAAACTGATTTTAGCAATCATAAAAAAATATCTACATTTGGGATCCAAGAAAAATATTATTTTAATACAAAAAATCACCAAGAAACTTTGGCCACCTTGACCTCTGGTTGTGTCATATTGAACACTGGGCAGATGGACTCAAAGGTTTGACATTTCTACAGAGCTGAATGGTATTTTATTTAACCAATAGAAATTTTACACACATTGTCTCCATTGTTTACCAGCCATCGATCTGGGTACAAAATGCTGAAGGATGGCATATTTTCTTAAATGCATGTTGAGAGCAGTGGCACACAGGAGCTATAATGCGGGATGAATCCTTACCTTCAGCATTTAAGAGAGGCGGCACGCATAAAAACACTTAAATAACTAATTTTATGTCTCTTAGGTTTTGTCAGGGGTGGGCAGGTGTAGGTCTCTCAGACAAGAATGAACCTTTGTCGTATTTTCTGTAGTTCTTTGTGCAGGTTTCCATTTGTTGTTGTGCACTGTTTGTGTCTCGCGTTTATGCATTTCCTGTTATTTACTCAGTAACTTTTTTGCTATTGGTTTTTGCTTTCTCTCTTTGATGTTCTCTTTGATCCCCCTAAATCACCACAATGCTCAAGTTTACCTACTCCTTCATAATGTTTGTGGCTAACATATTGTGGCGAGCTTAGACAAGGAGGAGACAGAGGTTTCGTTCGGTCTTGCTTCCCCGCCGTCCTAGCCAGGAAGCACAGCCGTTTATTTATATCTGACAGAAGAACGCTGCCGCTAGCCAACTGCTCAGCGTGGCACCAGCACAACAACAACAACAAAAAAAAGGCGCTTTCTCACCGGAAACACACAGTCGCAGAGAGAGTGTCACCTGTAACCATGGCAACAGAACAACAAAACATAACTGTCAAAACAAAACCCCGAACAGCCCTGACCCGCTACATAGCCCCCACCTAAGGGGTCAGTCGTCCCCGACAACCCCATTACCCAACAAAGTCCTGCAAATGTCCAGGTGTCTTCTTCTGGCGCACCGGCCGATCTCGGCCGGCGGGGGAACAGTCACTCGGATCAGAGCATGAGGTGCCACCAGCATCCCCTGCCCCGACGTCTGCTGGAGTGAGCGGTCGGTACGGTGAGAGTCTGTCCTGGTGCAACACCACCATGCGCCCGGGCCCGGCATGCGGATACGGTACACCACTTCTGTTAACCGCTCCACGACCTCCGCCGGCCCTTGCCAGTGACTGCAGAGTTTGGGGGACACTCCTCTCTTGCGAACCGGGCAGTACACCCAAACCTTGTCGCCAGGCATGAAAACCCCCCCTTGGCACTTGGTGTCGTAGGGCCTGGCGGGTGTAGTCATGAACCACCTGCAGCCGCTCCCTCAGCCTCCTGTAGTAATCCATCTCTGGCCCACCATCAATCTCCGGCTCGGGGGGGGACCCGAACACCAGATCCACAGGCGTCCGGAGCTCCCATCCAAACATCAGAGCGGCAGGTGTGCACTGGCTGGACTCCTGAACCGCAATCCGATACGACCAAAGGACCAGGGGCAGATGTCGGTCCCAATACCGCTGGTGGTGGCTGGTGAGAATGGCGAGCTGGGTGGCCAGCGTGCGGTTAAAGCGCTCGACCAAGCCGTCGCTTTGCGGGTGGAGTGGTGTGGTTCTCGTCTTCTCCACCAACACATACTGGTTCCCTGACTCTGTAACGGGGAAAGGCCCTTGGATGTCCACTCCCACTCACTCCATTGGGGCCCCCACCAGGTACTGCTGAAGGGGGGTAGTGGAGCGTGGAGTTGGGCCCTTCTGTGCCGTGCAGGTGTCACAGCAGTGCACATGAAGTTCCACATCCCGTCGACAGCCAGGCCAGTAGAACCGTCCTCTGAGACGGCGGAGAGTTTTGGCATTCCCATAGTGGCCGGCCCCCACCGAGCTGTGGACAAACTCGAGCACCTGCGACCGCAGCGACAGATGCACCAACAGCTGCAGGAGATCTCGTACCTGACCGGGGGCCCGCCATATCATGGTACAGGAGGCCGTCGTGGGTCTCCAGGTTGTTGTACTGGGAGTAGTAGGCCTTCACCTCGGGCTCCTGTCCCGACACCCCCGTCCAGTCTGGGCGTTGCGCCACCTCCAGCCAGGCCCCCACCTGAGCCAACGTCGCGCCGGCCTCCTGCTCCCGCTTCAGCTGCTGCATGGTCAATGGGAGCCATCCCCCTCCGCAGTAGCCACCCCAAGCGCCTCCTGGGCCGCTCCTCCTGTCGCAGACAGTAGCGGCACTCGACAGCCATGCAGGGCCGTCTGGAGAGGGCATCAGCGTTGCCATGCTGTCGACCTGCCCGATGCTGGATCTCAAAGTCGTAGCCCTGAAGGACCTCCAACCAGCGGGCCACCTGACCTTCTGGATGTTTGAAGTTCAGG